AGTTTTCTGTATGTAATAAAATGATTTTAATCGTTAATTGAGCACAGAGTACACTGGACGAATGAAATTGAAAAAAAAAAATTGAGGTTAGAGCTATAAAATTCATTTTTAATCATCTATAGACTATAACCCTTTTCCTTATTTTTCTATTTAAAATACCCATTTTTTTTTTCAAAAAAAAACCCGATGACTAGGATACAAATAAGCCTATTGCCTAATCTAGCTTAAAATCTGACTTATTATATTTTCGGATTCCAAAACTACCCCTATTTACAAGTTAAGTGTTATGTGGGGGTTGCAACTAATGACACGTTGAATTTGGAAAAATCTCCAAATTGTTATAATGAATGTAGGAATTAATTTAGAAACTTATTTGAAATTACATATTAAATTCAAAATTAGCATATTAGTAATCTATAGGTGGTTAACATTTTGGTTTATTTAATTAAAAAATTATGTTGTTTTCCTTTTATGAATATACGTGATTAGTAATCTATTTTATTATAGTTTTATGAATAATAGTGTACATTCTAATTATGTTGAAAAATAATTTGATAATCTATCTATCGTTTGTTTTATGATTTTTTTTTTTAAATGAACCTATTTTTTCTCTAAATAATGTACCCTTTTTTTTCCCTCTAAATAATGTACCTATTACTTGTTTTATGAAAAATAATTTGATAATCTTTTTGTTGTTTGTTTTATGAAAAACAAATCTTTTTAAATGAACCTATTTTTTCTATCTAAATAATGTACCTATTTTTTTTCTCTAATAATGTACCGAAACCAGCAAGGAATATCATCACCAACTAATTTGTTATATCTGTTCACTTTCGTTTTCTCCATACTGAATCTCATTTTTACAATGGATCAAATCTCATTTTATGTGGTTTCGTAATAATCTATATCCATTCAGGATTTAATGGAAGTTTAAACTCTGTCTTAGGCTTCCATCCAATGTATTTGTGTACATGATCATTATTCCTATTTTGTATGACATTAGTATTACATATTAGATGATACAAGTGGTGCTATTGTATGCATGTGAAATTAATTTTGTATAGGATTTAGTAGGGATGATGAAGATTAGGTTGAAAGGATTGATTTTATTGTGACATTAATTATCTTCTTTTTTTATTCATAATAATTTCTTCTGCCTAGAAATAGACACACAAGTTCTTCTTTTCAAATATATTCTCTTATGTGCAATTAGACACTCGAAACAGTTAGAAATATCATATTTTTGTAATTGAATGTAAATTTAATGAGGCCCCAAAGTTGTGAATTCTTAATTATCAGGCAATTTCATTTCTTCCTTACTATACAACACCCTAACTAACATACTGCCATTCAACGAGAGAAGTTGCAATCACCCTAACATAGTGCCATTAAATGAAGGCAGTAGCGATCACTTACAATTTTTCTAATTTTTCTAATTTTGCAATTTTATTTTTCTAGATAACCCTCTCAAAAGTTTTTTATTATTGCCTTTATTTTTATAGATGTGTGTCTCACCAGTTTCTTTTTTCTTTCATTGTGCATAAACTGTTGAGACTTACATCTAGAAAAATAAGGGCGATAAAAGAAACCTCTTGAGACGGTCATCTAAAAAAATACAATTGCAAAATTAGAAAAATTGTAAGTCTCACATAGCGTGCGTGATCGAAAATAGCCTTCCCACACACGTAGAAGCGTGTGCAGGGAGGCTAGTATTCAAATTGAAATTGAAACTTTCCAATGTCTCAAATACGAAATTTAATTAATGTTGCTGCTTCTAATTGCAAAAGGAAATACGTAAGTACAGTCATCCACTCAAAGGTCAATGGCCAACTTTCTTTGTAGGTTCCTTTGCACTGTTTGGATTTATCTTTACACATAATTTGACAAATTGCTTTGCAGTTTTTTGGTCATGATGAAACTTTCTATGATGAAGTGCAAGTGATCATCATTAGGTTGGAAGTCTTTCCTCTACAAAAGAGTAGCCAAGCTATATAATATTTTGGCTTTAACTACTTTACCTTAGTTTTCGGATGAACTATTTCCTTTTTGGAGGAAATCCAATTTTAGTTCCTTTTTCCTGCTTTTGGCCATACATTTTAGTTCTAATGTATGGACTTTGAAACTCAAGTGTACTTTAAAAATAGTTACTCCTGCACCTGAGGTCATGCACATTCAAATGCCCCTCCCCACACATATCACTTGTATCAGAAGAAAAAAATCCAATGCTAGCTAACTCTCCCTTGATATTCATAGATTAGATGATCAGACCAACATGAAGGCATCTTATTTTGTGAGAATGTGAAGGTGAAAATGTCCCACATTGGAAAGTTGAGAAACCTAGCAAGGGCTATAAGGAGTTGAATCACTCCCTCCATTGCTAATTGGTTTTGGGGTGGAACCTAAGCTTCCTTAATGGTATTAGAGCAAGTTAGCCTACGTGTGAAAGCCCAACAGCCACACGTGCTTCATGTCACCCAATATGTGTTGTTCACGTATTAGACTTAAAAATTCGTCACATGTGCGGGGGTGTGTAAAAATGTGAAGGTGAAAATGTCTCACATTGGAAAGTTGAGAAACCTAGTAAGGGCTTATAAAGAGTTGAGCCACTCCTCCATTGCCAATTAATTTTGAGAAACCTCAACTTCCTTCATTTTTTTAAGCATGAAACTGCTCATCTTCTAACTGCTCATCTAACCCATTAACAAGTTTTATGACTTTGACTTGGAAAAGTTAACGTGTGGAAGGCAAGTCTATGACTTTGACTTGGAAAAGTTAACGTGGGGAAGGGTGCTTTTGTCCAGGGGGCCAACGTGGGGAAGGCAAGACTATGACTATGACTTTGACTTGGAAAAGTTAACGTGGGGAAGGGTGCTTTTGTCCAGGGGGCCTTTTTTTTTTTTTTTTTGGTCTGAATCCAGAGGGCCTTCTTTCCATCGTGTTCGATATAATTCTGTTCCCCCGTTCTCTCTTGCTTTCAACCCTCTTTTTTTTTCGCCTGAATCAGTCCTCTCTTGCCTTTTCTCTGTATCTTAAAAAAAAATTGGGTTAATTACATTTTTTATCTCGAAATCAAATTTGATCCCGTGATTTTAATTTTTCTGATTTCGTCACCGCATTTGCAATAGTTAACAAATTTAGTCTAATGCCTCAATTCCGTCAGTTTGTTTAATTAAAAAATATTAAATATTAAATAATCAAAATATGATTTATGTACTTTTGCCATTTTAGTTTAATTAGCCCAAATAATCAAAATATGATTTATGTACTTTTGTTATTTTAGTTTAATAAAACTACTATACTTGAGCCACTACGATTGTATACAAAGAGAAAGAGCCTCATTTTAATTTTCGGCCCTGGGCCACTCAAAAGTCAAAGTCGGACCCTGCTCGGGACCTCATAATTCAAAATTCACTAAAGCTTCTTTCTAACTCCTAAAATTTCGACGAAAAGTGTTACGTAGTCTGCCGGAGGGGGGAGAAATCGCCGGTGAAAACTCTGTCAAAAACTGGGTCGAAACCGATCGGATTTTTGCATTTTCCGGCCATCTCCGGTGGTTCCAGCGGCAGAGATTAGTCGGGATAGGAAGAGGGAAGTGAGCTTGACGTTTTGGTACTAATATCATGCGATTTGGTGGTCGGTGGAGGTGGTGGCGAAGCAAAAACTGTTCGGATGAACAGTAACAGCTCCAATGGGAGCTGGTTCTGCGCGCAGGGAGAGAGAGAGAGAAATGAGGGCATTTCTGTCTTTTTAATAAAATTCAAACTTCAACTTATTTACGATTATGCCACTGAGGGTTTTTTGATCGTAATACACCTTGCCCTCAAGAAATGTGATCTGTTTGGCGAATTCCCAGTGAAAATTTTCAGTCTACAAAACTTAGAAGTTCTTAATGTGAGATACAACCAAGATCTCACTGGATATTTGCCCAAATTTAATCGAAGTAGTCCTCTCGTCTCACTGAAAGTTGGGTTTACTAGTTTTTTCGGAACCATACCTCCTTCGATTGAAAAGCTTAATTCATTGCAAAAGTTGGATGTCGCTCAATGCAATTTTTCAAACTCGTTGGTTCCATTTGCACTTGGCAATCTTAGACAGCTCACTAACCTAGACATTTCAGCAAGCAGATTTGGAGGTCCAATTCCTGATTCTTTGGCAAACCTGACCCAATTGACTGTGTTTAGAGCTGGTACGAATTCTTTAACTGGTCCAATTCCATCTTGGCTAGGTAACTTTAGCAAACTAGTTTACCTAGATTTGCTTTTAATAATTTGAATGGTTCAATTCCCGCCTCATTTTCCAATCTCACCAATCTCGAGATCCTTAATCTACAGTCAAATAACTTGAGCGGTGTAGTGGAGTTCCAAATGTTTCAGAAGCAACAAAATCTCTACCAACTCCAATTGAGTTCGAACAACTTTGAATTTGATACTGGATCCAATATTATTAACGCAGCACTTCGACAGTTGACCATTTTGGCTTTGAGGTCTTGCAATTTAAAAGAGTTCCCATATTTCCTACAAAATCAAAAAAATTTGGAGCGGTTGGATCTGGCAAACAACAAAATTGGTGGCGAAGTACCAAACTGGATGTGGAATTTAAGCAAGGAAACTCTGGTACTCCTGGACATTTTTGGAAACTTATTTTCAGGAGAACTTCCAGCTGTCATACCCTGGGTTTACCTGCTCTCTTTGAGGCTTTCAAACAACATTTTTTATGGACAATTACCGATCCCCCCACCATCCTAGCTAGAATATGGAGCCAATAACAACAAATTTACTGGAGAAATTTCACCATTACTTTGCAATATGAATTCTCTTCTGTACCTTGACTTGTCGACAAATAACTTGAGTGGCATGCTTCCTCAATGTCTCGGAAACTTTAGTGAGGGTCTATTGCTTTTATTTCTTGGAAGCAACTCTTTTCATGGAATGATGCCTCAACCACTCAACAACAGAAGCAGTTTCAGGATGATTGATGTTAGTTATAACCAATTGCAGGGGCAATTACCGAGGTCATTGGCGAATTGTGTGATGCTTGAGTATCTGGTTCTCTCAAACAATCAATTCAGTGATGTTTTTCCCATTTGGTTGGGGACTCTTCCAGAGTTAAAACTTTTGACAATGCGCCATAATGGGTTTAATGGTGTGATAGGACAGTCTAGAACAAATTTTGACTTCCCCAAGTTACGCATTCTTGATTTGTCTTACAACAATTTCACAGGTGAGATTCCACCTTTGTTTCCAGATATTGCTGTAAACATGTCAACATACATGCAGGCGCAAGTACACTATGCCATCATTTATGTTGGGAGGAGTGTTGATTACTCAATCACATTAGCAATTAAAGGTTTGGATTTGTACTATTCAAAGGTTCGAGAAGGGTTTGCAGCCATTGATATCTCAAACAACAAATTTGAAGGTAAAATTCCAAAATTCATAGGGAACCTTAAGGAGCTTCGCTCACTCAATATTTCCAGCAACATTCTCACTGGTTCTATTCCATCATCCTTGGGGAACTTAAGGAATCTTGAATCGTTGGACCTTTCACAAAACAAGCTCTTAGGGCAGATCCCCCAACAACTGACGCAGCTTTCATTTCTTGGGACCTTTAATGTGTCTCACAATAATCTCACAGGTCCTATACCGCAAGGTACCCAACTTACTTCCTTCAATAGCACTTCATATGACGGAAATCTTGGATTGTGTGGAGATCCATTACCAAACAAATGCGGAAATCAACGGCCACCTTCAACTAAAGAAGATAATGGTTCAGGCTCAATTGGAATGGTTGAATTTGATTTCAAATTTGTTTTGGCTGGAATTGGAAGTGGGTGTGTATTGGGAGTTGTTCTCGCGGATGTCTTGATCACAAGAAGGCAGGAGTTGTTTCTTAGGGTCGTTGGAATGGTGAGGCTAATAATATGGAAAAGGTAGAGTGGGGGATGCAGAAGTATAGTTTGTTATAAGGTCATGCGTTTGGAGTTGTTTTCTTGTTTTTGCTTCTCCTTCCATGTAACCTTGCCCTATCTTTGTAGTTGTACTTGTGGTTATGCTATAATTAATCCAAGTAAAGGTATTAGACTGATGCATGTCTTTCTGTATTTGGATTCTCTGCATTCATAATGTTTGCAATTTTCTGTGTGTAATAAAATGATTTTAATCATTAATTGAGCACAAAGTACATTTGATGAAATGAAATTGAAGCTTTCCAAAAGCCTCATATGAATATACCTACAATAGTTGCTGCTAATTGCGAAAGGCAAAAGGAATCTACCCAAGTACAAACTTTTTTTTCTTTTTTTTTTATACAAGAAATAGTCTATTTTAGTCTAATCTAAACTATGGGGTGGGGGATTTGAACTTAGATGCATAGTGGGGAGCACATCTGCGCTAGCCAACTTGGCTAAGCTACACAAGTACAAACTTTTTTGTTCGCATTATTAATTTAATGATTTAAACGTTTATTTTACAACTTCTAATTCATAGATTATATGTGTAAAAAATCACCCGAATCAGACAACATTTAACCATTTAATTAAATGGTCGTCATTTTAGTGGTTCTTTGAAAGCAGTATGTTCGTCCATTTATTTCATCACAATTTGTTGTTTTAATGTTTTCAAATATGATATTTTAACGAAGATTTGGAAAATCAACAATTCAGAAGACAAATATGTTCTTGTCAGACTATTTCGGTAAATATGAATCATTGATTAAGTCAAATCTTAATTGAAAATGTGGTTCAGATTTACTTCAGCAAGATAACATTACTTTCTATATACTATTAATTTTTTTTTAAGTGTATTATAACAAAATTACCTTCAGCAATATAATTTGTGAACATACTCAGCCACTCTTGGAATTCAACTTGTTCAATTAAAGACCAACCCTTTTTTGTTAATTTCCTAGCTGAAAATTTTTGTGATGATTATCTGTTCTTGACGTTAACAGAGGGGTAGCATCCAGAGTGATTATAGCGAACACCAAAGCTCATATGGCATGGCCAAGAGACATTTGATTAAGTACTATTAGGTAATTGGATGATGACTTGACTTCAAGAAAAATTAACTTCTTAAGTTTGAAAATAAGGTACTAGTATAGTGATCCTGATGGAAACTTCATATGTCCTGAATGCCCTATTTTTCGGGTAATTGATGCAGTCAAAATGAACTCACTTGAAGTCAAGAACATGTTCTTGCAAGTAGATGCAAATTTCAAACCATGATTGTTCCCCATCCCCATCTTGTTTGAAATTTAGTCCCGTGCTCCTATTGCTCAATAATTTGAGTCCAATCTATAAGTTATAACTCTCACACATTTTCACTTCCATGCATGCTTTACCACATGGAACCCAACTAACTTTGTTCAAAAGCTCTTCATATGAAGGAAACCCTGGCTTGTGTGGGGATCCACTGCCTAAGAAATGTGGAAATGCTGAGACCCCTCAACTGCCACCTTCAAGCAGAGAAGAAAACGATTCGGGCTCTAGAATTGGATTTGATTGGAAATTTGTTTTGGCGGGGATCGGGAGTGGGTTGGTTGTGGGAGGGGTTCTTGCGGACATTGTGATCACAAGGAGGAAGGAGTTATTTATTGAGACTGTAGAAATGATCAGGTCAATGACAAGAAAAAGGTAGAGTGATATGCAGAAATTCATAAGTTTGTTATAAGGTTATGCATTTGATGTTATATTTTGCTTGTTTTTATGTTGCATGTATTCCTTATCATGTGTATATGTGTGATGGCTTATGGTACGACCCTTAACATCGCACGCATCGTTGAATAAAATAAATTTATAAAAAAGAAAATTGCATGTATGTATGGCAATTACAAGCAAAAGATCACAAATACTTCATGGCAATTGCCTTTTGTGTCCTTATTGGTCCGAGTTTTTTTATTTCTTGATGCATAGCAAAGATCAAATCAAAGACCAAAGATCAAAGTATATGTAAATTTCAAACCATGGTTGGTTTTTCCCCATCCCCATCTTGTGGCTCAGACTGTACAACATATTAAGTTGTCTATAAATTATAACACCTCTATGTTACATGTTGGATTCTACACCCTTATATCCTTAGTTATATGATGAAATAAGAGAGTTGTTGTTGGCACTCTAAAATAGTTATCGTATAGTCATTTGTTTTCTGACCAAAAACATTCACATGTTTCTTTTTATTTATAAAGAAGGGGTATATGATCACTAGTTTGAAGTGCAAACAACTGTTCTTTTCAACTAAAAAGTATTGTCGTTTGTTTACGAAATTTGACCATTGATCTATTGTAGACCTTACAAGCATCAATTGTCAAAAAACTGACTTTAGAATACCTCTTCATAAAAGTACTTAAATGAAATCTGGACGGTTTAAATGGAGAAGGCTAGGCGCAAGTAATTATAGTGTGGTACTAAAGTATGGTTGTATGATATAATGTGTCGAGGTACCCTAAAAGTGGGAAATTTTAACATAGTCATCTACTCTTATTATGACATGTGGACGAGTTATACCACAAGACGGTATTCCAGGAGTGCAGTTTTCCTGTTACCATTTCTCCTGTGCCCACCTGTCACCCATCTAACTTTTTGACATTTGTCCTTCCATTTAACTCTAAGATAACAGTGTTAAGTTTAATTAAATTAAACAATGAAAACTAAAAATTGAAGGAAAAAAAAGACCCAAGAGAGAACGCCCCCCCACCACCCCCAATCCTCAGCAACCCCATCTCCTTCTCACCGCCGGCAAAGCCTCCTTTTCTCTACCTCTCTCTCTGTCAGTCTCTCTCTCTCTCTCTCTCTCTCTCC